CCCGCCCGCTGCCCGGTGGAGGGCAAGGGGCGTGGGCTAGCAGGGTGCGCGAGGCATAGCTCGGGTGGGGTCACCGGTGTGCCCACGGCCAAACTCAACCCAGCATTCGGCTCAGTGAATTTATGCAAACTTGAACAGGCGTTAACTGAAATTTAGAGTTGAGACCTACGGCGAGCGGTCCTAAGGAACATCGAAATGGGCGCTCGGGACGGTCGCTGCACGGTCCTCCTCGGCGACTGTGGCTAGAGTCCCACTCCAGGAATGCAGGGAAACAGTGAAACTCCACTACCCTCACAGGCTGTTATAACGACTAAACTCTTTTAAAACACTGCTTTGGAGGTTGAGGAAAAGATACTCTCAGCAGAGCAGCAGGGCACAAGATAACTCAGCCCTCTCAACGGACGTTTCACTACAGACCCCATCATGCAACGCGGGTAGGACGTTGCGGCTCCACGGCCCTGAGCCCCGAGTTCTGCGGGGAGGGCTCCCGTGGCACACTGGGCTTTGTAGTCCGCCGTTCCGCGTCGAGCGCCGGCGCTCACACGCCTTCCTCGCCCCACCTCTTAAAGCCCAAACGCCTGACTTCACTTCCGCAGAAGGCAATCTTTGTCAGGCGAAATTTTATTTTCTCACACTTTACATTGTTTTAAATACTGAATTTTGCATATTCTTTGCTCTGTGTAAAGCTACAGTCTTAGAGCTTCTTGCCTTCATTCAACAAACATTTATGGAGATTCTAAAGCTTCCAGGACCCTACCTACGTTCCACGAGTTCAGAGTTAAAATCTTACCCATTATTTTATTCTAGATATCTTAGTAATGCAGTAAGGCTTCCGCAGAAATTAATAGAGGAGAAAAGGAGCTGGGGCGGGGCGGGGAATGAGTGCAGAAAGGCATGCTAAAATAAGGAAGCCCCAAATGCTATCTTTTAATATTAGCAGCCACCCTTCCGATGGGTGTGTTTTCATTTACATCCTAAATCAACTACCTATAAAAAGTATCTTATTGTTTAACGGAGACCACAACTTTAATTGTTTCTAGATTTTAAAGGAGACTCTAGGACTTAGGTCTTCTAAGGATGATTTTCCTCCCAATGACCTCTTTTAAATTGGATTTTGAAATTAAAATCAGAGGGAAAGATTAGCTGTAAGGATTTATAATGGAAGGAAATGATATATGTGACTCGAATACGAAGGATCAATTTTACAAATGAATGGGTTTTGAAATATTTTCAGATCTCTTCTATTTCATTAAACTTGAATGCTTTGTCGATTAGCACAGATGATTTCTGTTATTCCAGCAACTAAACAATAAATGTTAATATAATAATAATTAGTATTTGGAACAGTAAGTTGAGCATCTAATTTATTAAGACACTGTTATGGTTCCTAACTACTAATTTTCTATTTTAGATCAGCATCCACTGTATCCACTAGACTTCTTTACAGGGTTGTATTATCTCACCATATTATATTTACAGAGTTATAATTTCCCCAAGGCTAGGACTATTGACCTAAGCCATTAACTAGCCCAGTGGATCCTTGTTAAAGGTAGACCAAGACAGTCTGTTTGCCAGTTACTTGGACAACTGAATTCGACTAAAACTGATCATTTTAAATACTTAAAAAATTACTTTTCATGGGTGTAGTATACGATTTGTTAGGCTGCCTCCTGTCTCTCTATCTTTCCATTGATGACAACTTTCAATTTACATTTGCCATATGGTTTGGGTGTTATGTAGGTAAACTCAAAGGTAGATGAATGTTACTCATTTGCTAAGTGGCCAGATGACTCTTTCCCATTTGGGACAGGAAGTCTAAGGAAGCTTGACTGTCTCAATTCTTATAGGTTTCTTCAACAGGAGCAAGAGGAGAGAGGGATTCAGGCCTTTTGCATAGATTTCTTTTTGGAAAAAAACAATCTTTTTGGTTCTTAGAATTCAAAAACAAAGACAGTGAGATTGATATGAAATCATAAATCAATCATAAAATTGATATGAGCTGGGGAATTTAAACTCAGAGAAAGATCCACAATGTATGAAAAGATTACTGCTTTATTAATTAAAATAGTGTTGTCTGGGGCAGAGTGGGTCCCCTGACTAGCAGCATTAGCACCAGAATTCTGGGGAGAGGGCCCAGAAGTCTGTTCTAACAAGCTCCAAGTGAGCCTGATGCCTCCAAATAAAGTTTGAGAGCATTCGGCTTGGGGCAATTTTGTAAATTTAAATCAAAGACCTCGAAGCAATTTTTTTTGATATATTATTATTATTATTATTATTAAAGTATAATCAGTTTACAATGTTGGGTCAATTTCTGGTGTACAGCATCATGTTTCAGTCATACATGTACATACACATACTCCTTTTCATATTCTTTTTCGTTATACATTACTACAAGATATTGAATATAGCTCCCTGTGCTATACAGTAGAAACTTGTTGTTTATCTATTTTATATATAGTAGTTAGTATTTTAAAATCTTGAACTCCCAATTTGTCCCTTCCCACCCCTTCCTCCTCTGGTAACCATAAGTTTATTTTCTATGTCTGTGAGTCTTTTCCTGTTTTGTAAATGAGTTCATTTGTGTCTTTTTTTTTTAGATTCCACATATAAGTGATAGCATATGGTTTGGCTGTCCATGTTCCTGCAAATGGCATTATTTTATTCTTCTTTATGGCTGAATGGTATTCTCTCTCTATATATATATACATATATTCACATATCAGATTCTTCTTTATTGAGTCATCTGTTGATGGATATTTAGGTTGTTTCCATGTCTTGCCTATTGTAAACAGTGCTGTTGTGAACATTGGGGTGCATGTATCTTTTCTAATTTGACCTCCCTCCAGATATATGCCCAGAAGTGGGATTTCTGGATCATATGGTAAGTCTAATTTTAGTATTTGAAGGACTCTCTATACTGTTTTCCATAGTGGCTGCACCGAATTACATTCCCATCAACAGTGTAGGAAGGTTACCTTTTGGAGAACTCTATCCAGCAGTGATGTCTTTTTCACAGTGGTTCAGAGCCAGTCCTTATATGTGTGATTTAAGGTAACATCTACAATATAATTAAACAACCCAAGTGAGAATGTTTTAAAGGTGAATTTTAAGTGTTATATAGTTCATAGCACCAGTTACACTCTGAGGACAATGGTGTAGAGCTTTTATCTAGTCTGTTCCTTACCTGGGTAACAATCCAGTCTTTCAAACTAAAGTTCCTCACGATGTAAAAACTCTCAGAGTTCAAAGGTCTGCAAACAGGAAGTCTGGCTTTTATTTTAAACATGGTTTTATTATAGTGAAATATATATGACGCAATTTGCCCTCTTAACCACTTTTCGGTGACACTGATTCATTCACAATGTCTTGCGGCCTCAGGGACAGTTTTTCAGCCAGGAAAGTGTGTTCGGCGTGACCATCCGTTAGGAGATGTTCTCCGAACGTGCATCCTCGGCCTGCCTTTCTCAGTCCTGATGCAGGCAAGCGATCTGCAGTAAGGCGCGCGCGTGGCGCTGGAGGGCGCGCCGGCGGTCGGCGGGCCGCGGAGACCCGGGGCTCCGTCGGGCCCGGGTGCAGAGCGGAGCGCGCGGCTCGGCTCCCCCGGCGGCCCGGCCGCGGTGCAGGGACGCGCGGGGCCAGCGAGGGGAGCTGCAGGGTAACTTTTCCAGGGAAAGCGGCCGGTCGTCCCCACCAGAAGCCTCCCTGCCTTTTGTTTGTTTTCCTGCCGGAGGCTGGAGAGCGGCCGGGTCCTCGTTGCTCACCATGCGCCGCGCGGCCCGAGCCCCTCGCCGGCGCCCCCGGGCGTCCCTGCGCGGACCCCTCGGCCGGTCCTAGCGGGGATCGCCCGCTGCCCGCGCCCGCTCCCGGGCCGCCCGCTCTCCGAGGAGCCGCGCTCACCGCAGGGGCGGGCCCCCGCCTGTGCTCGCGGCGCCGGTAAGTGGGGTTGGGGACTAGGGGCTTCTGCCGGGTGACCTGTCACCCGGGGTCATGGACCTGAGCCGCGGGGGACCCCCGTGCAGTGGCCCCGCGAGGGCTCGGAGGGCGAGGGGGAGGCGCAGGGTCTGCAGTTTCTCTTCGCGGTCCTGTGGGTCTCTCCCTCTTGGCGTAAAAACTCCCGTTTCCCCCGAGTCTGGAAGATTTTGATGGGTGTTTACCGTTCAGCGTTAAAGACGGGAAAGATCCCGGCCGGTTTTGAAGCCCGTTAGTAGGATATGAGGACTTGCTCTTGGAATTTTTCCGACTAGGCCTTTGGCTGTCCCGCAAGGGTTCTGAGCAAGAAATCCTCACACGTTTGTGTGCAACCATTTTTCACTGGGTTTCTTTCTGCTCTGATTTCTTCCTTGCTAATCTGAGTAGATGTTATGCGAGAGATGCCGAAGGATTTTCCAGAACAACCGTTTCTTTTGTAATGCACCCTTTAAAGTTTGACACCAGCGTTGAGGGCTTTTACTTTTACTTTTAAATATAAAAGGAGTTGAATGCATCATTCTGCAGAAAAGAGTATTCATTTCCACTTATAACTAAATAAAAATCTGCTTTTGCTGAAGCTGGATTATACTGAGAGACTTATCACCCTGAATTTTGCAGCCAGGGCTAGATTTCTCAGGGGCATTGGCACTTGTGTTTTTTATTTTAGCCTAGAGCACTTTTTGTAGCAATGGAAGTTTGATAGGTGCAGTTTTCATTTCTCACATTTTCCAGTGAATGGGTTTTCAGGATGTGCCCCAAAAGTGAATTGTACTATTGCTGAATATAAAATTAAAATGAGCTTTAAATATGTGTAGTTAACATACAAATTATTAAGAAGAATTTGTGCCTCAACCATATGTTAGCTGTGCTAGGAGTTAATATATTCATAAATATGCACATTTGAAATAGTTTCTGAACAAAGCGCTGTGATTTGGTAAAGAATTTGGCCTTCCTGTCTATCTGAGGACCAGTTATTGTGGGTGTAGAAATAAGAGCAGGACTGGGATTCTTTAGTTAAAATGATACCCTGTACCACTGCTTGCCCCCTAGGGTCCAGCCCTCCGCAGTAACCCTTCCTGTGTACCTTGCCTTGTCCTCCTCTTCAGAGTCAAAACTCGTGGCAGGGCAGGAGTGGGCAGCCATGTTTCTAAATGAGACCAGTTCAGTTTTAGACGATGGGGGGATGTGTTGGAGGATTGATGGAGCCTGTCTGAGTAGACAGAGGGCTGCCCTAGTCAAGGGAACTCAGCATTTAGTCACAAAGAAATGGCTTTTCTCACTGAAGTTTCTTACCTACAGACTGTTTGTAAACAAGTCACCAGAATAAAGAATGAGCCTTTGGGTTTTTATTTTTTCAGTTTGTTGCCTGTTTAACATCATCAAAGCTCTGTTTATACTTTCATTGTTTTACGCTCATTGTGTTTTTTGAGGTTCCCAGTAATGGTGGCAATCATGTCCATCTTGGACCTTTGGAATTACCTGTAACCATCTTGTCCTTCATTTCCTTCATCCTTTCTATCAATGAGTCATCCAGACCTTTGAAATGTGATTTATATAGAACCCTTCCTCCCCATTCTAATCCAGAGCCTCACCCTTCCTCTCCTGCAGACTGGGGCAGCCTCTGAGCTAGCCTCCAAAGCTGGCTCTTGGTAAGTCCTCATTAAATGTTTGCTGGATGGATGGATGGATGGATGGATGAGACACGCCCCTTTCTGATCTCTTCAGCTTTGTTGTGCATCTTGCCTTTTACAACTGTCACTTCCTTATGTCTCTCCTTGCTTTGCAACCTTCCGGTCCTCTCCCTTCTCAACTACCCCAAGTCTAAAAGAATTTACCTGGTTTTTTTTTCTAATTTTATTTTTTATTGAAGTGTAGTTGATTTACAATGTTAGTTTCAGGTGTACAGCAAAATGATTCAATTATACGTATCCATTCATATTTTTTTTCAGAGTCTTTTCCATTATAGGTTCTTACAAGAAATTGAATCTAGTCCCCTGTGCTATACAGTAGGTCCTTGTTGTTTATCTATTTTTATATATAGAATTTGCCTGATATTCAAAGCCTTTCATAATCAGGCCTCACTCGTCCTATCTAAATTCTATTTTCAGTTCAGCATGCATGTTTGCATTCAGTGGATGCCATCTTCTCGCTAGCCTGCTCTGCTAAGGGGGCTAGGATTGTTCCTGCTCGGTGGCTCTCCTAGAGACCCCGCTGCCCTCTCCCGTCCTCCTGTGCAAATCTTACCCTCTCTTGCAGGAGGAGCCTAAATCCTAATTTCTTTTCATTTCTTGTCTTCTCTTCATTTCTCTTCTGTTTGGTGCACATCTCCAGATACTTATTAGCTCTACCTTCTATTGGCTACGTTGATCTCTACTTGGTTTAGGTGATTTTAAGCCTCTTGAGGGCAGGAGCTGTATTTTCTGCACGGTAATATGCTGTTGTGGGCTTTGGGGTCAGGCAGGTTTGAGGTCAGGGCCTGACTCCTGGTTACTCATGCAGCCTTAGGGAGTCTCCAAGCATCAGTCCTCGTGTGTAAAATAGGGGAAATGCCTCTCCAGCCAGCTGTGGCGTGCAGATGGTCCGGGTGCCTGATCAGCATCCGCCACACGCCTGACAAAAATTTGCTCATCCCTCCAGTGACTCGGAGAGCCCTGAATACATAGCAGATACTTGGTAGATGTTTTGTCGGCTGACTTGGATTAGACACGAGCCAGGGCTCGGCCTGGAGGGCGGCAGCTGTGCAGAACCTTCAGTATCTTTCTGCTCTTACTTAAAACGGCTTGAGCTTAGGTTATTCCTGGCTACAGCTCTGTGTCTGGGATCTGTTGTTTTTCCATCTAAACCTCGCCAGGAACATTACTGCCTTTAATTTTTTTTTTTTAACTGCTTCTCTTGCGACACTTCATTTCACTCTGCAGGGTCTCACTGAGTTGGAGGTGTACCCCATACCTCTGTTTTTCTGCTCGTTGGGTACGTGTGCGTATGTATTCATGGCTGGACGACCTGCCTAGCGGTTTCTTGGCAGAATTCTGGGCACAGTGGCCTTTCTGTGTGTGTTGATCTGGCAGCCTGTGAATGAATGGTGTCTCACTTAACTGTAAATTCTCTCATCAGCTCTCTTTGATGACAGTGGATTCTGGGAAGGGCCTGTGCCTAGAGGGTCAGACGGCTCCCATCTGTGGACATCACTGTTTGTGGTAGGTGTGGTTGACTGGGAGATCTGCAAACAGAGGTGTGAGCCAGGTGCCTTACACGCATACTGTTTGGGGGTTACGGTGTAACCATGTCCAAGATTGTGGCTGTGCTTACCTTGAAATGGTTTTAACTTCCTTATCCATACCCATGTGTTCTAGAAAACTACCCGCTAAAACTAATTTGCTGAAACAAATCTTTTTCTGGGGCACGTTGCCTTAAGATGCTAAGCGTTGTGGCAGGAAGATATCAGAGACATCTTCAGCCAAAGAAGTAGAAGCAGCAGGTTCCTCTCGAGAGGGGACCGAGGTGGAGGTGGCATTCAGGCTCACTCTCTCTGCTCCCCGTGAGGTGCTGTCTGATGCTAGGAAATCCTACTGCTCCACAGAGCCTAGGGAAATACTCAATCCAAGTGGGGAAATTCCTTTCTTGACTCCTTCTGCGGGAACTGAAGCATTCTTGCACTTGAATTAAGGGGCTGGCTCTCTGTGCTTTGAAAGTCAAAACCTTCATAGAAAGAGTGCCTGTGGTCAGACTCACCTGTGCAGCCGGAAGCAAATCCTACGAGCGCTGACTTGTGAAGCCGTCTCAGGGTCTGAGGAAAGCACGTCTTTGAAGAGCTGCCACTTTATTTTATGTATGGTTCAAGATTAGCAATGGCTTCATATCCTTTTTTTTTAAATTGAAATACAATTGATTTACAATGTTGAGTTTCTGGTGTACAGCAAAGTGATTCTTTTTCATATTCTTTTTCATTATAGGCTATTACAAGAGATTGACTGTAGTTCCCTGTGCTGTACAGGAGGACACTGGTTATCTATTTTATATATAGTAGTATGTATCTGCAAATCTCAAACTTTGTATTTATCCCCCCTCCCCCGCCATTCCCCACCCCAGTAATCATAAGTTTGTTTTTTATTTCTGTGAGTCTATTTCTGTTTTGTGAATAAGTACATTTGTATCATTTTTTCAGTTTCACATATAAGTGATATCATATGGTATCTGTTTCATATACTTTTCACAGAAGGGGAAGTGGCAGCAATTGTGACATCGATAATTAAAACATTTCTTACATTCACGCATTTAAAATTATGCTGCTCCGAAGGTGCCAAGAATCCTATTGGTTGGGCCTCTGGATCTCATCTGGGCAATGAGGGTTCGGGATGATCATTATGGTCTCACCAGGGAAAAAAACTGATGCTATAGTCAAGTTTCCTTAACATTATGCTCCACCCATGTTGAACTTAGGTCCTATTGAACTGAGCAGTCAATCTATACTAATTAGCATGAGGTTATACATTATCTTACTTGCCATTTTCCCTAGACCCTAAGTTTGTCGTCCTAACTCAGGTTTTTTAATGGAGGGGCGCAGTAGTGCCTCACGTTTCATTTGGAGTTTTCTTCCATCTCGCTCTTTGTAGCCACTTGATAAACGTCCCGTCATGGCCAAGAGCTTGGGCAAGCCACATCTGTGTGAGGAAAGGTCAATATGAGTCTTTTTTTTACCTTTCTGTAGGTGGACTAGGAGTGGTAAAGTGCTGATAACAAGTGACTGCTCTCGTGGTTACTGTAAAAGATAATGGCCCAGGACCAAAAAGATAAAGTAGCGACTGTGTGATACCCAACGACATGTTTGACCATACCATGGGAATTACCATCTGCGTGAGCTTGTAGATCCCAGAGGACAGTATAGTTCGTGGTTTTGTCCGCTTGGACTCGGCCTGTGCTTTGAAAGTGCATGTATCAATGACTGATTGAACTCAGACAAAACT